CCTAAATTTAACGTACTGTGTGAGCTGCTTTCCTCAGGTTTTTAAAAAAGCTCACAACACGAAAAATGTACAGAATTATGGCTATATTTTTCTTCATCTCCTGGGGCAAAATAGTTCAAAATTTGATTTGTATTTCGCCCTAGGTATGGAGAAAGCAAACTGCTGATCTCTCTCTCTGTCTTTTTTTTTTTTTTTTTTTTTTTTTTTTTTTTTTTTTTTTTTTTGGTCCTGGGTCCTTGGGCTTTCAAAACAGGCACCGGAACCACTGAGCCAAATCCCCGGCCCTGATCTCTCTTTCATAGTAAGTTTTACCTAATATTCAGTTTCTAGAAGCATCAAAGTCCATACAATTGTTTTGCCCCCCACCTTGGCCTCATCTTTTTGTTCCTCTCTGCCAATCACCGATGTGTATCCTGTTCTGTTGGAATCGATCCCATATCTCATCACCTTATTTGTGAACTTTAATATTTAAAAAAACCACTAAGTTTCAGAAACCCACAATTGGTACCAAATGTTACTGCTTTTTCTATTATATTCCTGCACACACATCTTAAAATCAGGTTGGCTGTAAGAAATGAAGGAAGAAGGAAATAACTGATCTGACTGAGTGGGGGTTTGGGGACATTTCTATGGATTTCATAAAAGGTTAGCATGTAGCCCACTGCCTTCATTGCTGAAAATGTTCTAGGTTGAAAATAGTCATTCTATTTCTTGAAACAGAAGGTAAGAGTAACCTATACAATGCCACTCAGGAGCACAGGGAAGAGTTTGATGCACTTAAAACGGAAGGCCTCCTAGTTTCATTCACCTTAGTTCATCTCAACAAGTAAAGGTTCAATCTTCAGTCCTCTGTGAGAAGAAAATCCTTCCTCCTACTTTATCTGTGCTGCATGTTGTTGTTTGGACACACACACACACACACACACACACACACACACACACAGAGAGAGAGAGAGAGAGAGAGAGAGAGAGAGAGAGAGACATATCCTTCCTAGAGACCTATAGGAGTCCTGTGCAACTAACCCACCAGGATGGAGCGCTGGAAGCTTGCATGCATTTCTCCTGGCCGTTGTCCTTTGTGCCTTTTTTCCTTTCCTGAGCTGAATTCATCCCTTCGCTGCACTGAATTGCAACTGGGAATCTGTGGTTTCCGGGTCGTGTTGTTCCTGGCAGTGTATCACTGAGCCTAAGGCTGGGTGTAGGCATCCCCAAACGTAGTACATTCTGAGGCAAACATATCAGACAGCTGTGGGGATCCCTTTGCCTATGAACAAAGTAATCTTTCACCATATCATTCCAGCGTGAGCTCTAACTCAGTGGGTCACATGTGAATTCACATATTATTTCTCTTCCTGCACAGCTCACTTTGCATATATTTTGAAAGGATTCATGATGGAGAAATGCGTTTTGAATCCTGTGATAGACATAGAAACCCTCTTAAGATAAAATGTCTTTAATTTCAGCTTTAAAGGTAACACCTTCCTTATACCTACATTAGAACTGAATCAAACCTCCAGCTGTGTCTCAGACTGCATTTCCAGATCATGGCTCGTGGTCACACTTTTGTCTTGAATGTCTTCAGTTCTTTAGGGCCCCCACTTATTTAAATGACTCCCTCAGAACTCTAAAAGCTGAACTCAAATGCCTTCTCCTTGGCAATGGCACCTAATGTCACCAGGCAGCAATGAATTCTCCTTTCCCACTTGTTCCTTTGCCAGACCAGGGAGCATTGTGTGGTAACAATCATTCTATTCCTTTATTAGGTTTGATGTGTCTATTTCCCCTGTAGTCTGTGAGCTCCTAGGTGCCAGATGGAGCATGATTCGCATCTTCATTCCAATTGTCTAGCATGGACTCCGAGATCTAGTACTTACCAAAAGAGTGTTTATTAAATGCAGGATAAGTACACATTCTGTGGAAGAAAGACACTGGGCCCCACGAAGACATCAAGGATAACTGTTTCATCAGCACCATTTATTGAGTCTTGATACAATTTGCATACCTAAGTCTTTCAATGCTGGTAAATGGCCATGATTAGAGAAATTCTTCCAAACATCTGTGTTCTAGAACATAGTTTATTGTAAAAAATAAAACCTGTAAGACTGAGCTAAGTCACAGATACCCCTCGCCTTGATTTACCTCCGATAAGGCCAGACAAACATTGACCCTCCTAATTCCTGTTATTTGTCTCATGAATGATTAGCCAAACTGGACCCACGGGTCAACTGGAACAAAATATTTATTCATTGATCTTATGTTAGGTTTCTCTCCTTTCCTTGGACCCTTGAACTTTGACCTATTCTCAGCTTGATATAGTATGCAGCCCTTCCTTAAGGGGACCCTCCTGAGAATAAGCTAACGAGGAAACACTCTTTATCTACCATCTGCTCATGTCACTTTGATGGTTCACCCTATCCATCCTGTTTCCTCTTATCTCAACCTTTTTAGCCTTTTTCCTTCTTATTATAAAAGAAAATGCCCTTTCCTCTAAACATTGAGACACCTGCTCATTTCATGGTTGGAGAAGGACCAATGGTTGCTTTCCACTGAAATAATAGGTTCCATCCTCTGTGATAATCAGTTTAAATAAAGTCTCTCCTTGCCAATGTCTAGAACTTGTTTCTATTTGACAGTGCTCTTGGATGACTGGAGAGTTTTTCACTACACAAACATACCCACATTTTAAAATTAGTGAATAAAGTTAAATGCCCATGCATTTGACACTTTATTTGCACACATTCTAATAATACATCCCCCAAATTCAAAGAACATTGGTACATTCACCTCGAACCCTTATGAGGTTATCCTAGTTCACTTACATTTAGGTTGGTTCACCACCAGGCCTTCAGATTTCATTTTGGTTTTGTGCATTTTTCCTGTTTCCCACACTTAATGTAAAGGCCACAGCTCATGAGCCTTGGATAGTTTTTAGAATCCTACAGAGATTCTCTGGATTAGAGGCTACAGACTCCTCCTTTAACTCTGACACAGCATAGAGACTTGGGCTGTGGCCCTTTAGTGCATTAGTTACATCAGCAGCTCACAACTAGTTTTGAGTTTTTTAACCCCAGAGGTCATTTGGCAATGCTGGGAGATATTTTTGGTTGTTACAACTAGAAAGACAGAATCATTGGCGTCTAGTGGGTAGGTTGGGGATGCTGCTGAACATTCTACAATGCACAAGATAATCCTCTGCAGCAAGAAATTACCTGGCCTCAAACATGAATGGTGCCAAAGGTAAGAAACAACAATTTATATGAATGTTACTGTTTCTAACAGACATCATCAAATATTTACTTATTAAAAAATTAAAAGCAAGTCAGCAAAACTTACCTAAGGAATACATCTACATTTATCTAACCACACCATGGGTAATTTTTTTCTATGTAGTGCTTAAAAATTTTAGGGAAAAATGATCAACAATTTGGCAACAGGAATTTATTGATTTATTTGCAACATTAGTACAACATATATAGCTCCATCACACAGTTACAATACAGTATTTGTGCTTTGTAAGATAAGTAAACATTTATTTGAGCACAACAAAATTCTACACACAATAGTCTGAGATTGTTTAAAAATAAATATATGCATTTCATTTAGTAGCACGAAGAAGCACATTTCAGTTTGAGATGATGGATAGATTTTAAATTTGGTTCATGTGTCAAATTAAACATATAATCTAAATTTGGACTATTTGTATAATAAATGCCCAGTGAGCACTAGACAAGATTCCTGGCATGAGTAGATAGGGAAAAAAAGTATGGCTTATAGGAAAGCTTTCTTGGCATTTGAAAATGTGGATGATTAAGCAAGGCCAACATTAATAGTGTGGGGCCTTGTTTACATTTAAAATATCTTAGCAATCTTTGAAAATAGTGCAAAATCATAGTATTTCAGAAAATCCTTAGTAAACACCTCTTTGATCATTTAGTTGGAAGGAAGGAAAACTTACCAGGGAGATGCTACATATTTTTATTTTCCAAAAGAGTAAATCTCTGTCACTAAAATATTTTAAATGTAATAGTCTTTTTATTCCCCAAGCCCAGTGAGAATAGCATCGAGTGAGAAAGTCTGTCATTCTGACTTTTTATGTCAAGCACAGGGTTTTTACCTCGTGTTTATCACTATAAAGGCCATCAAAGTAGCATGTCAGGCTTGTGGGTGTCACCACTTTCATTACAACAAACCACTAGGCTCAGTGTCAGTGCACAACTCTAGCAAACAATCTCCTCATGGTTTATGAACATCTAAGATAACTCAATATATTATTTAAGATAATAGTCTCTCCATAATTTATAAGCGAAATAAAATGAATGTTTGTTTTATATATTCCAGTACGTAAGCAGACTTTAATCTCAAGAAAAACCTTTTTATTTTTTTAGTAAGAAAGCTTTCCCATATGCTACGAATTCTGTAATCATTTTACCCAGGTGATATTTTCATGGAAACAAGGAAACCTTCGCTCTCCTCTCTCTCAGGTGAGTGCTGTTAGTTTTCTGATGAACTAGGAGCCCAGAGGTTGTTGGGAAGTAGTGGAGTATTTACCCACGGATTGCAGAAAATGAATGAAATCACTTGGGAGAGGACACAGATACACCTACTGCATGTCTCTTCTTCTCCCCTGATCCTGGTTGGAAGGTGGAAATCTTTTGTATAAAGACCTGGAAGTTTCTTATCCATATCCTTAGTGTTTCTCTGGGCTTGCAGTGCAATAAAAGTTATAGAGTAGTTTATAAAACTATTTTACCCCGTGAAATTACGTCCAGTTGATTCAGAAAACTGGAGACATCTCATATCACTTTATATTTAAACATACACGAGTCCAGCTTTCCTGGGGCATGGGACTATTATATGCTTTCTAATTTGGGCCCCCACTGAAGTGTCTCTTTTGCCAGCCACTCCAATTCTCACTCTTTTGAACATACCCACGTGTTATACTGATTTGTGCAGACCTATAGTTTGGTTTCTCTCACATTACTCCATGTACATTGGACTTGAGCAGTACATTTTTTTATAGCTCTGCTAAAATGACATGATATACTGACAAAGTTCAGAGCATTGAGCAAACCACTACTTTCTAAGCTAGGATAAAGGAAAGAAATGCTCCTCAGGGCCAGACTGCCTTATCCCAGTTCCAGGAGCCAGTCGAAGAGACTTGGAATTCCCTCTTTCTGCTCCTCATGCATTTTGCAGTACTGGACGACTGCGTGAAAGATATCCCCCACCTTCCAGGACTTCCGGTGGACCAGTTGAACGACATCTAGAAACTAGAACGAAACACAGAGTTAGTGCCCTCAAATTACAGTGTTCTCTAAGGCTTGTCATTCAAGTGGCTTTCTAGTTGATGTGTGAGTATCTCTAGTCTCACTTACCATTTTCCAGGACAATCTATTTATTTTTTAGACATTTATTTTGAGCGCTCATTCAATGGAACTGTTTTTCTCATGGAGTTTTCCTTCATGGGAGGTGAGTAGGTGTGATAAAACTAATTATTTTTTGAGTGAATATTTTACATATTTAGTATATCATGGAGCCTACTCATCTCTGGCTTAAATACCCTGGAATAGGGCTATACGCACATCTCTTCTAAGACAGATAATTTCTCCTTGGACGTGCACATTTAGGTCAAATAAATTAAGTGCTAAAATTTCAGGTCAAGTCATTTAATCTTGAGCAGCACCTCTCCTCCCTGCTTGCTTTGATCAAGCATCAGGAGAGTTTTCCAAAGGACAGGGAAAGGAAAGACTCAGGAAATGCCCTTGTTACCTGGTTATCAGTATGAGCTTCAGCGGACCACAACCTAAAGGCAAAGTTCTAGATTCCAAGTGAATTGGAGGCTTAGAGAAACAGAAGATGGGGAAATCACTGCTGGCAGTTCTGTCCATGAAACTGTACAATAAAATCCAACATGCAGATTTCTTAAACTTTTTAGTCAGAGGCTTTTTAAGGAAAGTAACATTAAGAGCCAAAAGCTGCAGAACACAATTTAGCATATGTAACCTCATCCAGTTCTGAATACCAGCAAAGCAGACATTGTGATGTGAAAGACTGGGCTGTTGAGATACAAAGTTGGTGATGGAGCCATGTATGTCTAATACTCCAGTCCAGTGGCCTTGTGCTATGGCACCCTTCTGTATTTTGTAGGAGGAGAGGATGGCACTGATATTTATTTGATGCACAAAGAGAAATGATGAACTGAGAGTCTAATATCATTTTTCAGAGAGAAATATCTACTTGTTAAAAAGATGAGGATTGCAGATCAGTTATATTTTTTGATGTTTCTTTTTAGGAATTTTTTTTATTTTACACTTTGCATTTATTCATACTTCAGAGATCAGCAAGAAGTTTGCTAGTTTTTCTTTTAATTTGGAGTTATTAATTCATTTCAGCTACTGAGAAGTTGTCTCATGGAGAGCCACTATTACTTATATTCTTTCTCTCAGCTGTGACAGCATCCAATATTGAAACAGTTACAAAAACCAGGGCTTTACTGTACTCACTTGTATTGTATTGGTGTAATCAAAATAAAGTACTTTTCTAGGCTGGAAATGGAATACCTATTTTTAATACCTGGAGACAAAACCGCTGTCATAAAGAGTTCTGCGATGTGAGAGGGAGACAGATGGGAAGCAGATGGCTACCATATTATAGATAGTAGTATCTTATCCATCCTTTTGTATCTTGTGCTTGCCTCTAGAAAGTGGATGCTTGCAGGATGACTGAAGAGATGGATGACCAGTGCGAGTCAAATACATTCAAAGCTCTCAAGAAAATAAGGATGGGCATCTGAATTGTTGAGGGAAAACTTGAGCTAAGTATTCATTCTTAAATTTTACATAATGTATTTGCACATATGTAATTAAAACATAAACTTGCATAGCTATAGGATGCTCGCTCAATCATTGTCTACTGATAAAGTACTCCAGGAAAATTCTCAGAGGTTATGAATAGAGGAAATGGCTGAACAGAGCCGGAAGTGGGATCCTGGCAGTGTGTCAGGACCATAGCAAAAGCTGGTCATGGGGCAATTCTCCTATGACAGTGGCTGAGAGCTGGAGGGTGCATTCTGGAAGTGAGATGCTCTTCACCTCTTTTTACTTCTCACTACGTCATAAATGGAGAGTCAGCTCATTTGGCTCAATCATTTTATGTTAGAATTTCAGAGAAACCACTAGCTGGCTGGGACTGCCCCTTGTCCTCGTGGGCATCTTGTCTGATTCCTGACATTTTAGGAGCAGATGCAAACCCTTTCCTTGAAAGCTTTGCTTACACTGCAGTTCTTTTAGGCAGGGGACATTTCAAGTGGTTGTTAGTGACTTACAGAGATGGCATCTTTGCATGATTCAATTTACTGGCCTTTATTCAGGCAACTGCAAATCTGGGAAGCAGGTGTTCCTGATGAAGAAGACCTGGACATCCAGTTCTGAGGACTCACTGAGAAAGGTTTATACATTGTCACTTAGTTCTCTCTCACGATCTCCCCGAACAGTGACCTTCAGTGAAGATCATCCCCTTATGATACACCCTTTCCCCTTATGTGTCTTACAAATGTACACTCAATGCAAAGACTAGAGAGATAAGTAACACCAGCCCTAGTTCCTTTCTGTCCTTCTTCTGCAAACTCTGGCTCACTGGGCCATTGCTTCACCAATTTTCTTCTCTGAGTAATTGCCTGGGGCAGGAAGGATCAAAGCTCTGGGGAAGATGACAATATTCACTAGACCTTTCTTAGAAAGCTTGTTGGCTCAGACCTTTCCGGAAGTCAAACTTCAACTCCCTTTCATTTATTTGGAGTCATTCAGAGGGCTCTCTCTGTAGTGATGACGGCTGACCCAAAGTAGTAAAAGTGCCCTAGCGGTGAGGCAGTTCTACCAGGAATTTGTGGACTGGCTATGGGCTACAATCTGTCTCATGATTTCTAAGACAAAGCCGATATCTCAATAGAGTAACTTTTAAGAAAGTGATCTGTCCTCGATAAGAACAGCATTCTCTGAGACTTTGATGACTTAATCTCAGACATTGAGACCTTGAAACATGTGTGGACCCAATGAACAAGAGGGTTGCATATTTTATTTTTTAAAATTAGATAAAAATAGCCAGGCGTGGTGGTGCATGCCTGTAATCCCAGAACTTGGGAGGCTGAGGCTGGAGGATTGCTGTAAGTTTAAGACCAGCCTGAGCTACATAGTGAGTTCCAGGTCAATCTCAACTATATAGTGAGACGCTGTCTCAAAAAACAAAACAAAACAAAATAAAATTAGATAAAAATGAAGTAGGATAACAAAGAAATCAGATGAGTATGTTTGTGGCTCATAACTATGGGTTTTTAGAACCACATTCTATTTAGCACCTAGTTTTCATCATGCCAGTTCATGCCAGTGGCTTCTTGGTATTGTCTTACTCAGCTTTCCTATGTGATGAATCTGAATTTTTCTTTCCACTATATTGCAAAATAAAAATAAAAACCCATTCCCTGCCATTTCATGATCGACATTAATTGGGTTCCTTTTCTGCAGCTGCCAGTTGGCACTTCTTGAGCAAAGTGAAATATTCTATATTCTGTGACAGTTTGTCATTGGCTGTCTACATGAGGAACAGTATGTAGTAGATGACTTTGATATTCCCAGGTGCATTTAATAGATTTGATTGTTTACAAAATCAGACATTGGAATTTATGGCAGTTGCTGCAAGCTGTAGTATTTTTGGGAAACATTCATCTTAGACTTCTGAAGCCAGCCACTGTCTTTTGCTCCACGGCAGAATGATTGCAGTAAGCACAAGTGAGTTGATTCCCACATTCCTCCTGAAATTATGATTATAGCGCCACACTTCTTATCTTGGGCAGCATGTTGGGATCCTAGAGAGCTCTGTACATCCCTGATGGCTGGATCTTACACCCAAGGGAGTTTCTAAAGTAAGTGGTCAGAAAATCAGGTATTTCAATTATTCCCTGAGCTTGAGAGTCCTTGTTAGAGAACTCAGCTCACAGCAGTTCCTTATGTTTATCGATGAGAACCCTTGCTACCTAATTCTTCCTTATTTTTCTCTTCTGTTGCAGTCTATTTCTTGATATTGCTAGGGGAACGTTTATTTTCTTAGAAAAATAGTTCTGAGCAGTGACAAGCATTCTCTTTTAGAATTGAAAATCAGATGGCACAAACATATGTCTAGTCAGGGCATGGTTTACGTAATCTAGGTGTTAGTGAACCACGCTTCACTCTTGTACCAGATGGGGATTTATGATATAGTTATGCATAAAAATGATTATTTCTTTGAAAAGATGAATTGAAACAAAATCTCTTCCATTAAGGTCCCATCTAAAATGTAATTAATATTTGTATTTGGGGAATTGTAAGAGAAAAAGTTGTAAACCAGCCTCCTTTACACTTTTCAATGAATTTAGGAATATTCTTCTGATGAGAATGTTTGTGTTTCTCTCCCCATGGCACAGTGTATCACATGGGATGGGTCAAAGTGGTGATATACACATATATATATATTTTTTGTTTGTTTGTTTGTTTGTTTTTGTTTTTTGAGACAGGGTCTCACTATGTGGTTGAGACTGACCTGGAACTCACTATGTAGCCCAGGCTGGTCTCGAACTCACAGCGATCCTCCTGTCTCAGCCTCCTGAGTGCTGGGATTACAGGCAGATGCCACCCACACCTGGCCAAGGTGATGATATGTTTTACTTCATTGTTTGCAGGCTTGATGGTAAAACTGAAGGGAGGTTTATAAAATAGTGACCCACTCATCATCCTGCAAACAAAGGCATGGCACATATAGGAGGACTCCTAGATTTAATTGCACAGACAAGCAAGTGGGCTTGGGCATGAAAAAAACTATATCCTACTAGTTGATGAGAGAAGTAAAAGTAGGAGAGAGTGGAGAATGAATTAGCTCTTGTTTTTCCAGTACCTCATTGTATTGGTTGGTGCTGCAGAGATGTGGAGCTATTTGAATTGTGGACATAAAATAACATATTATGTAAAAAACATTTTATCTCAAACTGTTAGATTTTGGCACTGAAAATTAGAGTGTAATTACCCACTAAAAATATTAATTGTAAACCTAGGATCTTTTAACTCGCGAGAGACACTTTTTAACAAGGAGTGACCGAGGAGTATTTTATAGAGAAAGTAGTCATTGGGAATTTGGTTCAATGATGACTAACAGAGGAATCCCTCATGTACCAGAATCTCAGAGTCCCAGTTTGCTCATGAGCAAAAAGGAGACAATGGGGTCCATCCTGCTTTTTTCACGGGGCTGTTAAGAGACAAGTATGATGAAATACACGGAGGCTCCTCGGGGTGAAATGTGGAAAAAAATAGAGTGGCTTTAATGGGGCTTAAAAAGCCCCCAAGACTTTTTTTTTGGTCTTCATTTATTGTTCATATGTAGCTGTCCCCCCAAAACCTCATGTGCTATAGGTGAGGCTTTGAAAAATGATTGGATCATGGGGTTGTGATATTCACCAGTGTGTTAGCACACTGATGAGTTCATAGTGAAATATGATGTTGGGAAGTGAAGCCTGGTCAGAGGAGAAGGGTAACGACGGGTGTGACCTGGAAGCATCTATCATCTCCCTCCCTTCCCTCTACTTTCTGTCTGTCATCCCATGAGCTCTCTCTACTTCCTGTCTGATATCCCATGAGCTGTCCTCTGCCATGCCACCCTGTCTTGAAGCTAGGAGACTATGGACTGAAACTTCTACAAACTCTGAGCCAAAATAAACCTCTCCTTCCTTACACTGTAGGTGTCAGGTGTTTCATCCTAGCAAGGAATAAAATAAATAAGAGGTCAGGAATAGTATGACATGGTATGTCCTTACTAAACAAATTTACATGACAAAAGGGATTCATCAGTTAACTTGGAGGTAGTTAAAAAAAAAAAAGAATATCAGAGCAACCTAATCTAATCACACAGATCCTTTCAAAGAAGAGATGTTTCTATCTGCTGAAGGAAGACATCAGAAAGATTGACAGTAAGAAATATGGGCTATTCTAGAAGCTAAGAGTGGCTCTTGTTTGACAGCCAGGTAGGAGGTGGCGACCTGAGTCCTACAAATGAGGAAGGCCGAATTAGGACAGTGACCCAGATGAGCTTGTTTGCTTATTCTTTCTGGAACTTCCCAGACAAGACCCCAATCAGGTTGACTTCTTAATTTGTGCCTTGTCAGACCTGGGCAGAAATCAGAAACTCACTTGAGCCTCTGACCTGCAGAGCGGGGTGTCTTTTGAACTTGATAAATTTGTGGCAATGTATTTATTTAATGCAGCATTATTATCTTTTAAAAGGAAAAAATAAATTTAAATTATAGGGAAGGGTCTTTGAAGACATTGGCAGGTGGGTTCATTCCTTAATCTTAAAGGCTGAGATTCTAACACAGTTACTGGTACCTTTTAGAGCTCTGAAATTAGCATGGAAGTGCTATTAATTGTAATGTTGGTTAAGCAGCTATTCCTCAACTCTTTATTTCTAGAAGATAGAGAATGATAATGAGAAAGTTCCCCGACTGCAAACCTGCTTAGTAGAGAATATGTGTTTTCTTTAATTACATGTTGCAGCTTGCTTTAAAAAGCAGGGTGGCCTCATTGTAGAATGGGTCCCTTTTTCCCTGTGTTTGCTTTAATACGATCCCACTGGTGTGAAGAACAGGTGGCACATACACAATTGTCCCACGCCACCCCATGGAACAGTCATACATCAACCCATGGTTCAGACCTGCCCAGCAGCGAGGCCCTGTCCTTCACCTGTTAACTGAGTATTTTGAATAGGCCGAGCTGTGAGCAAGGAAATAACCAAAATAAAATTAACAGTATCTTTTCAAAATAACTTTGAAAAAATTCCCACCTCCTCTATTTACTTTTCTTGCCACCATCAACTAGTTAAAGCAAATTGAGAGACAAAGATTCAAGTTTGTATTTAAGCTGACAGCCCAACGGAAGGTTTGAAGGCTCTCGCCAACTTTGGAGGTCAAGAAAAGTCAAGATAAAACGCTTCCAACTCCTAGGTGTTAAGTGAGTTTTCAGCAGTGATAAAAACATGAAACTTTGTTGGTATCCTATCCAAATGTGGAGCGCGGTACCTTTTCAATTCTGTTTTCTTGAGATTTCTTGAAGTAGATCGTGGGAATCCCGAGCTCGGAGGCTGCTATCCACTGCAGAGTGGCGCGAAGCTCAGTGTCAGGACACTCTGGTTCCAGGTCAAAGTTGATCACCAGCAGGTTCTGTTGGTGGCTGGCTGCTGTCCCTGGCAGTCCTGAGGCTTGTTCTGCACACACACAACCACACCCTTACTCTGTTTTCCAATGGCAGATCCCAGGCAATCGTGTGTCAAAATTAGGGGAACATAGCTTACCCTTTATTCTTTCTGACTGTCCTTTGAGAATTTCCTTTTCTTCTACTAATTCACTTTGGGAGAAAACAAGAGTGCATGGTTGGTAGTGTTTAGGAAGAATAAGTCGTAAATGGAAGATGAGGTGATAGGTCTCACTGACCTAAAAGCTTCTGAAGTACATCCTAGATTTATCATTCTCATAGAGCAAAGTAGAGTGGGGAAATATCAGTGTACAAGGGATTTCCGGGTCTGCAGTAAATAACTCCTCCACCAGAGAAATCCAAGCAACGTGAATGGTTTTAATTAGGATAATATAGGTAGGAAAGCCTGAGAGATGGATTTTCCTGTTCAACCTCCCTTTTGTTAACCTTTACAGGGCTAACAGTTAAGGGGAGATTTTGGGTAACTGGTTTTGATTTAGAAATTTATCTTTTTTCTTCCATTTTACTTCTCATTTAATGGACCTTATGTTTCCATGCTGTCACAATATTTTTTTCCATACTACAATAGTCACTTATGTTTGCATTTTAATGTAGGAAAATAATTTTTTGCATGTATATATTTTTTTTAATCTGAAAGAAGTTGAAAGACAAACCAGTGATATGCAGAATTTGCATTTTATTTTTAAAAATTATTTATTTTTAAATTTTATTGTTTGGTTTTTTTTTTTTGAGACAGGGCCTCACTATGTAGTTGAGACTGACCTGGAATTCACTATGTAGCCCAGGCTGGTCTCGAACTCACAGCTATCCTCCTGCATCAGCCTCCCAAGTGCTGGGATTACAGGCATGCACCACCATGCCTGGCCCGAACTTGCATTTTATAGGAAAATATCCTTTTTTTTGGTACCGGGGATTGAACTCGGGTCCTTGTGCTTGCAAGGCAGGCCACTGAATCACTGAGCTAAATCCCCGGCTATAGCAAAATATCTTAATGGATTGAAATTATTGTTTTTTATTCCTTTCATCATGAAAAAGTATAACAGGGAAGGAGTACTTTAGAACTAGGGAATCATAGCTGAAGTATTTCATTAACTATAATAATGTTTAGTATCAGAGATGTTTTTGCATGATGTGTACTTATTAAGAGCTTCCTTGTACACAGTGAGAGAACTCAGTGAAACTTAAAAAATAACAGCATAAGGCACAACTGTGCAAAGGAAGTGACCATGTTGGGGAGACTCTAGATGGCCTATATTTTTGTACTGTCTAGAAATTTGTAATTAGGATTTGAAGAATATGTGTTTTGTTAGAAGATTTTCCCATATTCTCTGTTACTACTGATATCTGGCTGATAAATCCCTTTGTGTTGATGAATTACATCGATAATGATAACTTTCCCTGAGGTTGAAGAGTCCTGTGCAGTGATTCTTTCATTTCATACTAGTTGTCTGTGGAAGTGTCCATTCCCTAAGAGTCCTGAATTTCTGCTATATCTCACATGAGTGCCGAGAGTGATAAAGCAAGTGGTTGTCAGTTTCTGCTAATCTGGGAAAATGGATGCTGAGAATGGGAGGTGGAGATCTTGTGTTCCCTGCAGATAGATTTTTCTGAAGTCATAGGCATCTATAGCAGAGAAAGATGAAAAACGTAGCTAAGAAAGTGTTTCCTGCTGGGGAAACATTCATTTTCCACAAAGCAGACTTTTTCAGTTCTTCTTAAAAAAGAAGGTAATGTGCGTGTTCATCTCTGCTTGTGAAAATGGCTCTGTGTAACAACAAGGGAGGCACTGCAGCCTTCAGTCACTGAGGTATACACCTGATTCAATGATGAAATGAAAAGACTTTAGATACAAATGACCAAGAAAACAAGTTGGGATGAAAATTTAGTCCCTATACTTCTTTTTTATTTTCTTAAAGTTTCAGAAATATCCAACTAATAAGTTAAGTCATAGTTGTCAAACCTAGACTTCATTTAATTTTCCAGAGTAACCCCCAATTTTAGAAGCAGTCCTGACCTCATGCTGCCCTTCCCTGCTGTGCTATGCTTGATGTTGCATCCATTGTGCTTCTCAAAGTAGTTTCTGCTTAGGTCTTTTATAAGTCCCCATACTGTGGAGAGCAGAGTCACTGGGTAGGGATGACACATCTTTGTCATGGCAACCAGAGTCACCAACATATGTAGTAGTGATAATCCCAGCTGTCCACAGCAGTGAGAAAGGCACTCACACTTGATTCTATTGAAGTGACCATATTCTACAGCGAAGCCTAATGAAAAATCTTCCTTGGGTGGCAGGTACAATTTAGATGGAATTTTTGGTAAACCTCATGTGAAATGTTTATTCCATAGGGAGCATACCTGAGACGAGAAAACAGGGGCTAATAGGGCAGGGGCTATTCGAGGTCTGAATCCTTGCTCCAGGGACACGAACCCACAGCAGCACAGACACAATGAAATCGGTGGTTGGGTACAACCTGAATGACCAGAATGGATTGCCAGATGGAATTGGAGTAGTGGTCTCACAATCACTGCGTCTCAGAGGCTACTTACTGAATCATGGGAGAAGGTGGCATGCTTTCCTGATAAATGTCCAGGTCCAGAATGCCAAGACTGCTAGTGGCACTACTGTTGCCATTGCTGACAAAGCAAAAGTTTACATATTAATGCCCATCTCCACCCCTAACCATGCTGCTGACACTCAGTTCCACTTTGGAAGAGGTCCTTCTTTTGGTCCCCAGGAGAGCATTGTGGCTACACATTTCTGATCGTTTTTGGGAAAAACACAAGAAAGCAGCCTAACAGGCTCAAGCTAATAACAACAACTATAATAATAATTTTTAATTGCCGAAGTTGAGTCACATGTGTTGGGTCATACCTAGCGAGTAATGACCAGCATTCCCTTTTCTTCCTCAATCTAATCAGAGGGACAGTATTCATTTCTCAGCAAGGGATTTCCTTTTGCCAGGCATGTCTGCAGAGAAACTCCAGAAAATGCTGGATGGGAGTTACCAAATTGCGTATCTCCTTGTGTCCTGGGAAATTTGATAGAAAGTTGTGTTCTCTCTTGCCTTTCAGTGGAATTTTCTCAGGGACGTTCCATAGGATTTCACAGTAAATGTACCTGGCTTGTTTCCCTATGGATGAAAGAATTTATAGGCACAAAGGTGGTGTAATGTGAAAGTTCTATCACTCCTTTATCTTACAATTTTTGAGGAGGAGCAGCACACAACACCTGATTTACTGTCGAGAAGGAGGATTATATACTGTGTTAGTTTTGTACATTGCACAACTAACATATGATCTACTTACTAAGCTGGCACTTACTAGCTCAAACACAGTAGGGTTGAGCCAGGTTTTAGGCTCTGCCTGTACTTGCGAAATGAAAGTATCCGATTTTACCAAACTCACTGAATCTCCTCGCACCTTCTCTATTTCACAAGGATGTCCCTTCCAAGCAAGGTTTTGGAAGGGCAACAGCTGGTGCATCATACAAAGGAATAATATTCCTTTAATACCCACCAGATGCCATCAATTTTAAATTCTTGTCTGAAGTTTCAAGTGGCTTGCTCAATCTTTTCACAGATTGCAATCTGATGAGTCAAAATGCGCCAGAGGTGATTAACCCTATAAACTTCTGCTGTCAAAGCCAAAGATTCAAGTTCTGTTTGCTTTTCTGTCTCTATTTTGTGGCATTTCCCACCAGTTTTGGGGATTTTTAAACAAATTGTTTAACATTGTGAAATATTCCTAAGTGTAAACAGACTCAGCTGCCAGACATAAAACTTTCAAAAATCCCTATGTACACCCACTGGCTTTTGCATCTCCTTTTCCATTTGGCTTCTCTGGAAATCCTGTGGACTTGTTGGTCCAGTGGCAAATACACTGTAATGCTTTGAACAGACATGGAGAGATTTTTTATTTTGAGTTTCCACCTCAGAAGAATAACTTTTAGTTTGTGCCTGCTAATTGCTCAAGCCCTTCCAAATCTGATCTCTCCTAAGCAACTCTGTCTCTTCCAGAAGAACAACACAGAGGACAAGGGAGATAAAGGGGAAAAACAGTCAGGTGAAAAAATAATACAGTGTGAAAACACTTGCCTCATGTAAACCAAGCCTGTGTTGCATCTGAAATACAAATGAACCAGAGAGAAAGTTGAAACACACAAAGTGTAATAGAGGCTCTCTATTAACAACAACAACAACAACAAAAAATCACAGTGCTAGCGCTAGCACACTGAATACATTAGCTGGGCCTTCCAAGCAAGGGAATATAACTACCTCTTAATTTCATTCAAGGAAATCTGAGGCATAAGTGGAAAAGAAGATAATTGTTAGCATGAATCATGACAGACAAGGACCATGAATTAGTGGGTGTTTTCCATTTGCTCTTTGCTCTCATTATTGGGGAGACTTTGCAGAGAACTATGAAATGCATTTCTTGGACCTCTCTGTGAGGAGCACGTTCCCTGGGAAATCAAAAGAACAGCAGGTACCTCATGGATCGTTCGCTGAGCTGCAGAAAGCTGCTTGTGTCATCTGGGTTGTCCTCTTCATTGGCTAGCTGGGACCAGCTGCCTGTACTCTCCTCGCTGCTACTGGGAAGACTGGGAAACTCATCGGGGGCTCTTGCTTCTGTTGTGACTTCAGCTTCTGGTACGTCTCTGGCATCAAGCCTGTCACTGTAGACACCAGGATATTATTACCAAGAGGGGAAGCATCATGTGGAACATTTCACAGAGACCGTGCTGGTCTTGTTGGTTCACCATAGTGAGCAAAATGTCATTGGGCACAGGTGGAATCTTTTAGCCTGAAGCTTCCTTCGGGGTGGCTGTTATTATTTAGATCTGCGATGTACCCCCAAAAAATCATGTATTTAGGGGTGGGGCTTTTGGAAGGTGATTGGATCCTAGCGGCAATATGGATTAGTCCATGGCTGAGTTCATACTTGGGTGTGGTATTAGAACGTAGGGGCCCCTTTAGAGAAAATGCCTCCCTGACGCTGTGCCTCTGAAGGCTTCATCTCTCTCTCTGGCTTTTCCCATTCTTTCTGCTACCGGCTGCCTCGAAGTGAAAAACTTTGCCCCACCGTGCTCATCTACCATGATGTTTGGGAGCCAGCTGACCACGGACTGAACCGTCTGAACCTGTGAGCTAAATCAGTATCTCCTTATTTAAGTTGTAGGAGTTAGGTATTTTGTCTCAGGGTTTTGAAAGGAGAGCTGAGTAATACAGTGCCCTAGGATATACTTTACCTTTTCAGGATACTCTTTATCAATTTTCCCATCTCTTCTACTGGCGACCTCCATTGATTTGAACACCACGTAGAAAGAACTTAGAATACCTACATACAACTTATTGAGGGGCAGTGGTGTTTAAAATGAAGGTACACAAAGAATTCTCCCCAATAATTTTGATTCCATGTATCTAGGAGGCCCAGGAATCTGCATTTCAATCAACTACCCCTGGTGATTTTAATGTGATATGCAGACCATGCGGTGAGAAAAATACCGCAGTTCTGATGCTTTCCACAATCATTTTCCCAGCAAATACCTCTGAATGCACTTTGCACTTGCAGATACCTTTTACACTGTCCTCTCTCTTTCTCTTTCTCTGAAACCTCTGGTTTATATCAGCACCACTTCTCTGAATTAGTGTATTTTTAGATCCAGTAACACTCCTGGCCACTTCGCATTTGATCTGACATCATTTATTCTCGAAACTTCTCTTCCCTGGCTTCCTGTGAATTTCTGCTTCTCTGGTCACTTGTTTTCTAAAGCCCAGTTCTCTGTTTCTCCTTTAATCATCATCATAGCCAGTTCTGATTCATTCACTTTCTCTTTTCCTCAGTTTGTCCCTAAGCATTCTCATCAATTTTCCTGTCAAGGGAAATAGTTTCAAAACTTGGATCCTAGTCAAGACTCTCCCTCTGGATTCCGGGGTTCTTTTGTCAACTGGTCTTCTGAACATTTCCTATTTGTCTCAGTAATATCTCAGAATCAATATCTAAAATAAATTCTGACTGCTTTCCCACACTCTTCCTGATGCTTATTTTTGATGAACTTTCTGAGTATCTGGTATTGAAATGCACTCTTCTGATTTCTCCTTCTTGCCTCTTATATTAAGTTACTAAGGTCTTTTAGTTTCATCTCTATGGTACCTCTCACATATTTACTCATACCTGTCTCTGTGTTCATGAAATTATCTTTAGTTCCTTCCAAATTACTAGCAATTTAGATTTAGAAGGAACCTCATAGATGTGCTGTAGATATTAATGTAGAAACCCAGCGAGGTGGAGGGATTTATCCAAGAGTGCAACAAAATCAGTAACAAACTCTAGACCTTGAGTTTTGAGACGTGTGTTCCTCAAACACGCCCAAGATTTCTCATCTCCTGGCTTTTGCGTACTTGCCTTTTTTGACTAAAAGTTGGAAAAATGAATTCTGTGAGCCTTATCCCTATCTGTAAATTTCAGCTCTAACATCCATGCCCTATTCACTTTAAGGACACTAATCAACCTTCCTAACAATACTGCTACCACTACTACTACCACTGTTACTACTGCTACTTCTACTATTACGACTCCTACTACTGTTTATCATCTCACATGGATATTTGGAAGAAATAAACTAGAAAATAAATTTTGTTTAACTTAGTGCCTGGAATATGATTATTCAAGAAGGGTTGTCATATTTTATAAGTGAATTATATAATTCACTAGGGATTAAAAGGCTAATAAATAATACAGGTTGCTTCTTATTACCCTTCAAGGCCCAGCCAAGAGACATCCATTTCCCTAAATGCTTCCTTAATCTTGCCAGTGCTCCCTACGACTGTCAAAATAATTTATCTGTTTCTTTTTATTGGAGATACATAATGCCTCATAATTTGGACTTCAGCAAAAATAGGTACCAGTATTTATAGTAGATGTCATTAAGCATTTTATACTTCCTTATGCATTAGAAATAGAATGTAAAGCTATGGCCATGTCATGAATTATTTAACAGAATAATTTGTTAAGTGTTTAGTTTTATAATTAGACCCATATTTTCAATTTAGATAGCTCCACTTGTTAGATCTGAAACTGTGAAAGATCTGAGATATTGTATTACACGCAAGCCAAAAGTATTATAAGTAACTATGGAGTGAGAAGTGTGGCAGTTTCTAACACCCTATAACTACTAACCCTGGGTGAAAGTAGCCCTTAGTAAGTTTGATTGTCCATTTTTCCTTGCCTGCTATAGACACACACACACACACACACACACACACACACACACTCCCTGGGGGTTGGGACATTTAGGCACTCACAGAGCTGCTTACATCAGTTCCTCAGTCCCTAATTTTCTAATGTACACTGCAAGTGCTGTGAGGCTTGTACTGCTGGAGATCAACCCAGCGTTGTGATTCAGGGCTCATATGGGACTCTGACAGATCTGTCTTTCCTCTTCTCCAGGGAAGACAGAGAAAGGAGAAAAGGGGACATCAAGGAAGGGAGAAGGGCAAGGTATAGACAGAAAAGGGAGGAGGAGGAGAATGAGGAGGAGAAGAGAGAGAGAGAGAGAGAGAGAGATTCCTTCAGATTATAAATAAATCCAAATCTTCTGCAAAGTGGAGGGATGGTCTCTACTTCACCACTCTAGAATATAAAAAAGTGACTCAAGGGGTACACATCTTTGTATCTCTATCTTTAGGGCCGGCATTTAATTACCTTTTAACCTAACTGCAGGTGTTCTTTGCTCCTAAAACCCTGAGGGTACGTAAATGTGAACATGCTTATGGAAACTTGTCTCCTGATACCACCTACAGAATAATAAAAAACTAATAGTGTAACAGCATTGTGGTGCATGCCTATAATTCCAGATACTTAGGAGGCTCAGGCAGGAGGGTTGCAAGTTCAAAGAGAGCCTGAGCAACTCAGTGAGACTCTGTCTCAAAAGAAAAATTAAAAAGGCCTGGGGATATAGCTGTGTGGTAGAGTATTTCTGGGTACAATCCTGGGTATTGTAAAAAAAGACATAACACCCCATAGTGCAGAAGATAATAACATTAATGACTACAAACAAAAAGCAAAAGTGTATTTGTCAGTTGACAACACAAAGTACAGTCATTGGTATAATAAATATGGAATGCTTTTCTCCAGATCACTTCAAATTCACAGTAGAGAATGTTGTCCCCTAATGGTACACCTTAGGAATTACCCTTGAACAAAGACTTGTCCTGCTAAAGTTTCCTGCCGTATGTACAGAGGTCTCAGTTGCGAATACATTTGGGGCACCTTCTCCCTATGCCAGATCTAGCCTTTCTCCATTCTCTGCTCTCGCTGAAATGTTTGTTAAGAGACAGAGAGACGGGGCCGGGGATTTAGCTCAGCGGTTCGGTGGCCTGCCTTGCAAGCGCAAGGACCTGAGTTCAATCCCTGGTACGGGGGAGAGGGGGGAGGAAGAGAGACTGAGAGGATATAAAAACCATGGATTGTAACTGAGAGTGTTGTGTTCCTCACGACCAAAAAAACATTTCTAATAACTCTTTTAACTTGATAAATGAGGAATGTCTTGCAATATTAATAGTACATAATGCCAAACATCACATGATCACAACTGAGCCAATGATTCCTCCCCCACTTCCTCTCTTGCTCTCTCTCTGAGGGATTGTGGGTGATCCTCTCCAGCAGAAAGAGGTTATGGAGGAGATCTTACCTACAGAGAAGGAGGGGAAAAAAGTAGATTCATTCTCCAAGTCAACTGAGACTAGGTATCAAATGTAAGAAAGAGTGTGAGACTATGTAGAAAAGCACCACCAAACAAGGCTGTAGCAGTGCAAGTGGTAAGTCTTTTCAGTGGCAATGAAATGTCACTTTTCTGTGAAATTCTCCTCAAAAGGAGGCAAAAGCAAGTATCATTGGATAGGGTCCTTGTCACAGTTGCACAAGAAGATAAAGAGGAGAAACAGTCAGGCCAAACAACATAGCATGGTATGAAAACACTTGCCTAATGCAAACCAAGCTTGTGTAGCGTCTGAAATACAAATGAGCCAGAGAGAAAGCGGAAACACACAGGTGTAATAGCAGCTTCAGAAGAAAAGAATAAGATTCCACAGAGGCATTAGACAGCAGTGACTCCATTAATGAAAGTCATCCTACAAAATAACCCTCTTCTCTCGTCTCCCTCCCATCAGCCACAAATGTTTTCAAAGGAAAGTGCAAGTGAATTAATTTTTAAAAAATATTTTGTATTTTTTGTCTTATATTACAGTATTATAATAATTTTATATGAATGTTTCTGGGTTGCAGAATCTGAGTTTCCCTTATTTCTTCTTATTAAAGGTACCTAAGTGAGCTAGAAATTAATATACAGTCAGAGAGGGACTGAGCCCTCAAGGAAGTCAGCACAAAAATAAAGGCATCAGAATTGTGTCTCGAGGCACATCTGAAGAAGGACAGGCCTCAAGACGAAGATGCAGTGGCCAGGCCTGTGTGCCTCCCTAAGGGATAAGCAGTAACTTGAGATTGCACAGTAAGTAGCACCACGTGGTCCAAATGGGCATCAGTCACTCAGGTAGGTGACCAGGGCATCTGGACCCATTCTTTCCCCAAAATGTCTTTATTTCCTCCATAACCCTTAATGTGGACTCATTTCTTTATTGGGTCAATATTAGCTAAGTGGCTATACTTGTAATCCTG